ACTGCTTTTACAAAGAATGAGAGAACTGTGTTTTTCAGCTGGTTAAAGCTACCCTTGGTGACCATCCATCCATTATCTGGATCTATTTCAAGCAGATCAGCTACTGAAACAGAGGCCTCACTATACAGTGAATAGGTAATTCTAGAATTGGCTCCATCATCTGGATCTACTGCTTGCACTTGGGTCACCAAATAACCTTTCCCAACATCTGCTTTGACACTAGCTCTGTATTCGACTGTCATAAATTGGGGAGCATTGTCATTCTCATCCACTACAATCACTCTCACAGTGCAAAACGTAGTCCTGCCACCACCATCAAGGGCTCTCAAAAAGATACCAATATCACTTTCTAGGAGATTCTCCCGGTCTAACCTCTCAGTTGTCAGAATCTGCCCATTGCTATCAATCAAAAATCGGTCCTTGGCAAAGTCATTTATAATAGAGTAGCTTATCTGGCCGTATACACCTGAATCCCCATCTGTTGCCTTCACGTGGATTACCTTAGTTCCAGGAGCAGCATTTTCTCTAACCTCTGCAACGTAAACACTCTGTGAAAACACAGGGCTGTAGAGGTTGGCTCCAAGGATTTGTATGTGCACCTGAGCTGTGCTGGTGAACAGCCCGTCTGACACAGAGACATTGAGGCTGTACATGGGCTCCATTCTCTGTTTTCGATGGTTGGAAAGTGTGATAACACCACTCTTGCTGTCCATAAGAAAACTGGTCCGATCATTTCCTGATAAGATGCTGTACTCCAGTCTGTCAAAATCAGAGCTGTCGGCATCAGAGGCTTGGACACAAGTAACAAAATGGCCCCGAGGTGCCAGTTCACTCACATAAGATTCATATATCAACTGGTTAAAAACTGGAGGGTTGTCGTTCATATCTGTTATTGAGATACTAACAAGAACCTCACTGCTTAATGGTGGGAACCCATTATCTGTTGCTCTGACTTTCAAGCTGCACTGCTGTATGAGTTCGTGATCCAGCATCCGGGCTGTTAGAATCAGGCCACTGGTGCTATCTATATGGAAATAGTCCGTGCTGTTAAAGGTGTCCTGGACTATTTGATACTGCACAATCTTGTTGTTGCCAGAGTCAGCATCAACAGCTACAACCTGCAGTACAGGAGTCCCAATCAAAGATGCTTCAGACAAAGTAGCGTTATAAGCCGACTGATCAAACACTGGAGGATTATCATTCACATCATTAATGATCAAGTCCACAGTGACCTCAGCTCGAGCACCAGTGAGAGCATCACTGGCTCGCACCATTAGCTTGAAAAGAGAATTTACTTCATAGTCCAGTGGGCTGATGACACTCAGAACTCCAGTATCAAAGTCAATATTAAACTGGTTGTAGGGATCTCCATCGACGATGATATAAATGATACCCTGGCCTTCTGGACTCGTTGCATTTATGCTTAAGATTGGTGTGTGCATTTCTACATCTTCATTCACAGAAGCTGTATAGAAGGGCTTGTCAAATACAGGCATCGCTTTGTTAACAATAGTAATGGGGAGCTCCACCAAAGCAGATAATGACGGGTTACCACCATCTTTTGCAAGAATGACAACCAAATACTCTATATTAGATAAATCCGAATTGAAGGGTGCTTTTAAAGTGACACTGCCAGACTCTCTATCAATTTCAAAATGTCCGTAGTCTTCCTTCAGAAGATAAGACACCTCACCATTTTCATCCTTATCTTTATCAATAGCCGTCACTCGATATATCAGGGTGCCGGGCTCAGCATCGACTTGCACAGCAGCATAGTAGGGGAGCCCCACAAACACTGGGGCATTGTCATTTATGTCCTCAATGTAAACCCTTACCACCACGCGAGCGACACGAAGGTGATCTAGCTCACGGCTTGCTTCTACCACCAACTCATACAGCTCTTGTTCCTCTCGATCGAAGGGGATGCCAGTTGTCTCGATGACTCCCGAGGTGGATTTGATTTTAAATTTGTTGCCTGGGTTTAATATACTGTATTTCAAAGGCTCGTTGAGGCGGTTACCAACAGCATTCACCACAGCGATCTTTGTGATATTGGTGCTGTTTTCTGAGATAGAAGTGGAATAAAAAGTTTGTGTAAAATGGAGACCACTATCCATGGCTTCTTTTACCATTATTGTCACCATAGCAGTGCTATAAAATTTCCCATCAGATACTCTTACTATTAGCCTATAATGGTCTTTGGAGAGGCTATTGTTTTTAATAGTGAGCACCCCTGTGTTTGAATCAATTAAAAAATGGTCCATATTGCCTTCAATTAGACTGTATGTTAGTTCAGGAGGGATCTCTGAATCTGGGTCTGTAGCCTTGACTTTGAGTACCTCAACACCAACATACGTGGGAAGGAGCAAAACTGTCTCAAATACAGCTTGGCTGAAGACTGGTGGGTTGTCATTGACATCAGTTACCTCAATGGTCACTTCAACTGGGCTTTCGGCTGTAAGCTGAGGATTCCCACTGTCTCTGACATGCACATGAAAGTGGAAGTGGGCTATTGTTTCATGATCTAAATTTGCAATTGTACTGATTGCACCTGTGCTGGAATCTACCGTGAAATACTTTTTTGCAGTAGATTCAACAATTTGGTAGACAAGCAAAGCATTCTGGTTGCTGTCAGCATCGGTGGCACGTATCACCAGGGGACTGTTATTCGCACTCCGGACTATGCTATTTACAGGAGCAGCTTCACTTATGCTTCCTGAGTACTGAGAGAAGAGAAAAACTGGTGGGTTATCATTTTCATCAACAATCTGAATGTTCACAGTGGCATTCGAAGCCATGCCTGCCATATTTGTTGCCTGTACGATGAGCTGATAGAATGAAGCACGTTCATAATCAAGGGCCTTTTGACTGGTGATCACTCCAGAGTAGGGGTTTATAGTGAAGACTCCATCCACATTCCCATTTTTAACCTCATAAACTAATGTGGACTGACTGATTGCAGAGAGAGAGATGACAGAAGTACCAATATCCACATTTTCATTGACCTCTGCTTGGTATTCTTTGAGTATGAACTTAGGGTGGGAGTTATCTGCCATTGTCACAGAAATCCGCACAATTGCTGTTGCAGACAGTGGTGGAGAACCTTGATCAGTCACTTTGACTGACAAAACAAACTGTCCCATTGTGGTTAAGTCTGGCTCCTTCATTAATGTAATGATCCCCAAAACTGGTTCAATCTTGAATGTGTTTCCTGTATTTCCTAAAACACAAATATTGGAAGCAAATTAGAAACTAAATACAACACACTTAATGATAATTTAAACCAGGAGCAGGTAGCTGCAATTTGTTAAAGGCAATTATTGAAAAAAACAACAAAAAAACAACAAAAAACAGGCCTTCCAGCCTTCCTTTCTGAAAACCAGATATCTCAGTAGATGGTAGAGGTATTAAAACCTTCAGAAACTCAGGTGCTGCTATCTATATCTTGATACTGATTATCAGCACCTGAGCAAGTGCTGCATGCACATTACTCCTATTGAAGTAGGAAAAAGCATCCCTAAATTATGGGAATTAGTCAAATACATGTACACCTAAGGCAAAGAAACTAGATCAGAGTCTAACAAGCCAATTACATGACAAATGGATAACAACTCAGGCTCTTAATTGAAGGGGATATTAAGCAACTGTAGAGAAGATTAGTTCAAGACTCAAAGAACTGAATATAAAAAGGTTAAAGTGGCATTCAGAAAAATAAAACAGAACAAATAGCATAGAAAAGAGATTCGAGTATTTTGTAGCACAAAGGTTTATCATATGATCTCTGCGGACAGATCTAGATGAATGAGATTTAGCAGCCAATGTCATGAAATGTCTGTTATAACATGAAAGCAGCAGTATCACTGACTGAAGAAAGGTGAAAACAGTGAGTATGCATCAAGGACCTTCTCTGGAGTCTTTTATTCTTTTTAGTCTTTTTGCCAACAGATAGATTAAAAACTTTTGATATGTATCCCTGCCTTATAATTAGAGATCACCTTTTATTAGGCAATATATACTTTCCTGGTTCCTTAAGTGCCTGCCTGAAGTGTAGGATGCTGTGTGTGTGGCATGTACAGGCATACAGACTCTTCCTGAATTTGATTTTAAACACAAACAGCATGTACTGAGTTACAGCAATTTCAATCATTATAACATGTTTCTGCTATTGTAGTTTACACTCTAAACTAAACTGCTTCCAATCTACAGTGAAGCATCCATCCAGTACCTGGAGTGAAATATGTCTCAGGTAACTGGTGATAAACAAGAGATTTTCTTTTAATGGTGATTATTACAGGTGCTGTGCACAAAGCAGTAAATGTCAAAATTGTAGCTGTAATACCAGATGCATAGAATCCTAAATGAAGTGAGGTAATGTATGCTGTTTTCACGATGTGATTTGCTATCTGTTGTAAATTCTGGGGCTTGGAGGCTAATTTAAGCTACATACTACCGTGTGCAGTACAATATTGGTAGTGGCTTTCTATTTATATCCATCCTTTAAGATCAGTAAAGTTTACTCTACTAGCTAACACAGAAATCGTGCTATTCATGGAGAAGCTATTCTGCCAGAGCTACAAATTCTCATAAAGATCACAGTATCTGTCACATTTGCAGACACTACAAGGGCTGCTGCAGTTATTTTGTCAGTGCTTGCTAGTACAAATAATTTTTAGCCACCAACTGCCTCATGTAACGCCAGAGCTGGTTCTTCTCCTTTAGGAATTTCCTGTGAAATTACACAAAAGCTACTTTCTTTATCAATTTCCCTCTTTGTATGTAAGGTGGTGTAAGTAATTCCCCTGAATGAAAGGGCTGTGTACAATCTGAATGCTGCAGTTAAAATTAGTATCCTCAGCTGCACAGATTTTATGGATCATAGAAACTACAGCAGCAAAGGACTGACTTTTGATGCAGCTGGGATTAGAACATCTGTGGATAATGAAACTGGGGGAGGGGGTACATGGCTTCTAGTAAATGGAAGTTTGAAATCTGACACTGCAGGGAGACTTCATGGTGAAACAGAAACAGGCTGTGAGGGAAGAGAGAACTTCTAGAAAAAAGAAAAAAACATGTAGAATAAAAAAAGGACCATCTAATAGCTAAAGCATCCTTCCTAATCATCATAGTTTTCTGTCTGCATCAGGTGTTATTCATTGCCTGTGTATGGGAGCCATACTCCCACTATATCACGTTGCTTTTTACACTGTAGTGGCACCCATAGGTGATTGGGTTGGAGCCCATAATAGTAAAAAGGCATAAAAAAAAGTTGGGAACAGTCTTGATAAACATTGCCCCAGGAACATGATCTGGTCTGTATCATAGAATCATAGAATCATAGAATCCAAAATTGGGACCTCAAGGATCACCTGATCCAACCGTTTTTGGCAAAAGCATTCTGTGGAAAAGATAACCCAGCACTCTGTCCAACTGAATCTTAAAATTGTCCCATGTATAGCAATCTGCCACATGCTGATGAGGTCTCTCCTCAGCCTCCCTTTCTCCAGGCTAAACAACCCCAGTTCCTTTAAATGTTCCTAATAACATTTGTGTTTTAGACCCTTCACCAGATTTGTTGACCTTTCCTGGTCTCACTCCAGCACCTCAATGCCTTTCTTACAGCAAGGGGCCCAGAACTGGACACAGTACTCAAGGTGTGGCCTCACCAGTGCCAAGTGCAGATGTACAACCACCTCCCTTCTCCTACTGGCCATACTATTTCTGAGACAAGCCAAGATGCTGTTGGCCTTCTTGGCCACCTGGGCACACAGCTGACTCTTATTCAGTGACTGAGACCAACGCCTCCAGATCCTTTTCCTCTGGGCAGCTTTCCAGGTGCTGTTCCCCAAGCCTGTAGCATTGTATGGGTGTGTTGTGACCCAAGTGCAGGACCCAGCATTTGGCCTTGTTGAACCTCATGCAATTGGCCTCAGGTAGATCAACACTTCCTCCCAACTTAGTGTCATCTGCAAACTTACTGAGGCTGCACTCGATCCCCTTGTCCAGATCATTGATAAAGTTATTAAAGAGAACTGGCCCTAGTACTGAGCACTGGGGAAATCATGACACTACATTTTCAGCCTCTGCCCTAACCTGCTTCAATAGTGTAGATAAGCTCTGCATTTTCTCCTTTATCTTTGTCCAAAGCCGTGACCTGCAAGACTGCTGATCCAACTGCTGCGGATTCAAACACTGAGGCTTCGTACAGTGGGCTGGTGAAATATGGACTGTGGTCATTGGAGTCTTCCACATTTATGATGACTCTGGCCAGGTTTCTTCTATAAGGGAATTCTTGATCTCGGACCTATAGAACAAGTGCATAATACACATCTTGATATACATCTAGTAAAACTTCTTAAGTATCAGTCACCTGAGTGCTAATACTTCCAATTTAAAACAAAGTAATAAAAAATCCAATTGCCTTTCAAAAAGTCTGAAATACATTATCACGTGAGACAGTACACAGTAAAATGGAAGAAACAGGAAGAGCTTAGAGACATAATTTTTTCACTTGTGAAAAATTGCATGGCACCTAACGATCATGACATGAATTTAAGTGGCAACACACATGACATGTTAAATTTGGTGTTAGGTTTGCAAGAAATGCCTTGTTTTAATACATGCTCAATGGTCATGCCTTTGCCCTGCTTTATAGCATAGAGGTAAACATACCTTGCCCATCATTCCTTCTTTCAAAGAGGTACAAGCTATCTTACCCACTATGTTCAGTCATGTATCAGTCTAGTGCTGGTAGTTGCCAATGGACTTCTTCATCATATATGTTCAAGCCTTTTTAAAGGTGATGATACCAATAACAATCAGTATGAATTACCTAAGTGCTCAGCAGACGCAACACAAGTATCATTTATTGCACCTCTCTCAACCTCACATTAAAATCTCTGCATTGCTACACAGATAATCCTGTCAATATGATCCTCAAAAGCTTGGTTCTCCCTAAGTAGAACAAACTCCTTACTGTATCAGGTGGAGATCAAACACAAGGACCAGGACATGACCTCTATCAGCTGTCTCTCTCTGCGCTTCTGTTTATAGTTATTTCTTAGCTTGCTCACCAAAAGACTTGCAGCTTGTCACACTGTGAGCTGAGACCCCACTCTGCTTCTGCCTGCTGGATCTCTCAGCAGCTCTGGGCTCCCCCCCAAGAGATGACCCCATAACCAACACGTCACAAGCTGTTCCTTCATAGATCTCTTTTGTAGGAGTCTTAAGTGGTTAAAGAAAACAGTGGACTACAATGCTTGAACTAACACTAACACAGATTATTTTTTTATTAATCTCCAGGCCATAATATACACCCTTAACTTGAAAACAGACAAGACTTATGTTTTGTAATTTAGACATGCTGAGTAAAAAATGGCAATTATTTTTTTTTCTGCATACTCAAACATTTGGAAATGTAGCTGAAAGATATTTTACAGCTATGTACTGAAATAAGTCCATAAAAATAAACTATAAACGATGCTTGTATTCAGAGGGGCTGTAGCATTCTCTTTGGTAAGAAAGCAGTTATCTCCCTGTGAATAACTTCTCAAATAACTTTCAGGCTCACTTCAGAAACTCTGAAGATTACCTTGAGTGAGAGCACCAGATGCCAAGAGATTAAATAATTTCCTGCTTGCTCTCCCCTGAGATAGCAAATCATATCATATTCCATACAATGAATTCACAATAAGTTTCCCAAAAAGCCCGAGTAAGAAATGTAAAATAAATACACAGCAGGGCACACAAGATGAAATTAATGACTACTTACTGTACTAAGAGTCCTTTGTTCATGCAAATACTAAGGCACATATGCACCCGAAGCAGCAGTGATTGTGTCCTGAATATTGTGAATATTGCATTCTTACCATGACATTAAGGATGTGCTTATCTTGAGCTTCGTGGTCTAATCTCTCAGCAGTATAGAGCACTCCAGTGCTGGGATCAATTCTGAATTTTCTCATGCTGACTGTGTCGATGCTGCTGTGAATAATGTAGCTCAACTTATGCTTTTCATCTCTGTCTATAGCTTCAATTTGCAGAATTTCAGTATCAGGGAGGATGTCCTCTGAAATGGTGACATCGTAACTTGGGTGAGAGAATTCTGGGCCATTATCATTGTTATCCAACACTTTGATAAGAACCTATAGTTAATAAAATAAAAACATTTGAAGTTATTGAAGTCTAGCCAGGATACTGAATAGGCACCTAGAGAAATGTAATTTACTTTAGATGGCTGATGATGTTATGCTGCTGGATGGGAGGCTGAGAAAAATAATTTAATATTAAATGCTTACTGTTCAGATCAAAAGGAATAGTAAGGACATGACTTTGGAGGCAAAATGTCCCTAATTATAAGACCCACTCAGAGCTTGACAAGGAAGTCCACATTTTTAGTATCTATAGATTGGTAGATATTCCTATGACTGCCACAGGAAAGGTTCTGTCATCCCTTGTAACTGTGCTGGTTACACAGTTGACTTGTTCTAGGGCTATTACGGGATTTCCCTTTCCCTTCACTATTATTAAGGTTATAAAAGAATCCTTTTCATGTTAAATCTGCTCTTTATAGAATAAAAATTCTTCTAAATCCATTGTTGTTTTCTAATATATTGTGTTAGGCAGTACTAGCCATGTCAAATCCTGACAGCAGAGGGGAGTTCAAGTTCCCACTACATCTTAGGCTGTGTCAGGAGTGGTGACACTAGGTGAGGTGACAACAGGAGACAGGACTTCATGACCATGCATGCCCACCCCACAGTGATAAATATGTACTTTTGCCAGTGATGACTGTCCTTATTGCCAACTAATTCCCTTTTCCCTCAAATATTTGCCTCCCTTCTTTTGCAGTTTATGAATGGTAGAACTGCTGCTGAAAATGGGAATGAACACTGTGCCATGGGCTTCCAATCTGTCTTGAAAACCTCAGTACTGATCCCTAAAGAAACATGGAGAAGGGGCAGGCATCCAGGATGCTGCTGTTGCTGCCTCTTACACTCATCTCAATATATCACAAGCTGTCTCTGGTAACTACTAAGAATCACTGTTTTCCAAGCTTTGCCCTTCAACAGTTAATGGGATGAGGTTTTGTGTTTTTCGCCACTGGAGGAGTCACTCCCTGGAGAAAATACACTTTCCAGACCTTGTATGCTATAGATTACTTCAGGCAGTGTGGCAGAGTTGCCTCTTTATCAGCCTGGAAACAAAAATTATCTTTTGCAGAATACACCTGTGAAAGCACACATATAACTTTACAATTAGTGAAATGAACCAATCTGCTTACTCAAAGGCTTTCAAATAAGAAAAAGTCCAATGAATGACAAGGGAAAGGCTATCCACAGGGCTCTTCCCTAGGACTAGAAGACTCGATCCATCTCTAATATTTTCTTTGTTGTTCTGAAAACTACTTGGCCCTTTTAAAAGCAAATATATCCTGGCTTTGCTTGATCAAGCCCTGTTCACTCATGCTTTCTTAGCAGCAGAAAAATAGACTTGTACTTTTACTGCAATATTACACAAACAGATGTTGGGCTCAGACAGAAATGAAACTTTAGATTTCCATGATATTTGGAAGGGCTTGCAGAACTCATTACCAGAAGGAATATGAGCAATTGTAAGCAGCAGCTGTAATGAACTAGCCTGGGAACTGTTTAAGAGACAGCTGAAATAAAATGTTCTGTAAGTTAAATGGCACAGGACTTCAACTGTGCATTCCATACAATTTAATTTTCACTAGATTATGGTACACCAGAGTGAAATAGGGTGAAGCCTATATTAAGTTATGTTTCAGTCTTGGACAGATAGCAATAAAATCTTGAGGAAATATACATTGCTGGGCCTATAATAATGATGAAGAGTTACTTAGGTTTTTATTTTTGTTCAAGGTGTGTTTCTGACTTGAGGGAAAAAAAAAAAAGCCAAACTGAAAAATATGTGAAGAAATTAGTTGTAATATGTGAAAGAAAGCCTGAAAAAAAAAATAATTGAAGACTTTACTCTAATGGGACACAGAGCCAGTGCTGAACCATTTCTATTAGTGTAAGCAAGAGACACTGAAGCAATCTGAGTTGGGGATAATCTGATTACCAGGATTTAACACTTAAAGACATTTTCTTGGGCAGTTTTGATACCTGCAGTTCTTGTCAGGTATCACTGCTGGATTATTTTACTGCTGCACTGTTAACACAGACAAGAAACACATTTAATTTTACTTTTAATTAGTGGACTAAAGCTTTGTCATGTACCATTTTAGATGGTTTTGAATGAAAATACCAAGAGTGTTTAATTCTGCTGATGCTCAAACAGACCCATTTGACCTGAAAAACTAGGCTGTCATGTGGTGAACATGCTCATGTGTGAATTTGTTTCTATTGTTGTGTGCAAGCTCAAGCTATTCTGTAAGAAAAAAAAAAAAGTACAAATGCACATCAGTGTGTCTTAAATGTACTGCCAGAGTGGTGACATGCTGTTTTGTTTGTGTGGTCGCCCCAGCACTGGGGTTTACTTCCCATTATATCTAATGCATTTTAGCATCACGGACAAATAGAGAAAGCAGGAGGGCACAAAGCTTTATACACCACAAAGCTTGCACCTGACTGTGCAAGCCACAGATCCATGATTTAGGCCTTCACTAGACTGCATGACATTAATAGGGTGGTACTGGATCAGCCTCAGTGACTAAGGGTAAGCCATGAAACTATGGAAAATATAGTGTGGATTCACAAAGCAGCATTTTTTCCCCCTGAAAAAGGTGTAAGCTAATGCCCTGACACACAGATACAGACCATGACGGTGCCTGAGGAGTAGAAGGCATGGAGAGGGCAAAAGATTGAAAAAAACAGGAGTTCCTTATTCACAGTGGTCATCACAGTTGGGGGGAACTATGCACTTAAAAATTGCTTTTCTTAGTTTCCAGAAAAGTACTTCAAAACACCTTTTTTTTTTTTTTTTCCACTTCATATCTACTGTAACACTGATCAAGTGGCTGTTTAAGTTGCAGGCCTCTTCCTCCCCAGAGATGACAGTATTTTAATGATTTGTCAAGTGATCAACGTTGAAATACACATCATTTATTACATACTCTGCATATCAACAGCCATTTCCATCTGGAGATTGAAGGTGGTGGGTTAGAGATGCTAATGAAGCAAGAGGTCATTATTGATGCACAATTTCTTCTATTAAAGCAGTTAAGAGTATTTTAAAATTTTTGTCAGCTGTCCCTCAAAATCCCCAAGAGTTAACTGTAATTTTAACCTCACGATCTCTCCCTTACCAGAGGGGGTTGGATTTTCCTTGCAACAAAAGGAAGTTAGATTATATATGGGAACGCTGATTATACAGAGCTCTGTTAAATCCAGAAGCTATAGAAAAGGAGAAAACGGAACACTCTTATGTTCTTAAAAATATAACTGTCTTGGGAGCTACCTGAAATGAAATGGCGTAAAATAAAAGGAACTTAAGTGCCATTTTAAATAGGTATTAGTCCTGCCATCCTTACAACACTTTGGAAGAGCAAGTGACTGGTTATATCCCCATCCTTTGCACGAGAAAACACTGCCTGACAACAAGGTTAACTGTCTTACCAAAACCACACAAGACAAGCAGTGGCAAATTTGGGGAAGCAGTTCAAGGCTGCACCTCTAGGTTTGTTTTAGAGCCACCCCCTTTTTCGTAGTTCACACTGAAGTGTCACCTTCCTATGCTGAAGATTTCCTGCACTAGCCCAAAGACTTCTTGTAAGGTGCTACTAGTAATTTGGGGCAATCTCTTCCTTTAATAATGGACAAATGTTACTGACACGAACACCAGGCTCATGGAAAACCTGATCCTACAAACATATGTGAAGCTGAGTAAGCCAAATTCCACCAGATCATTAATATGTGGAAAGTTACTCAAATTCATTTAACGGCTGCCAAACTTAGGCATAAAGTCTTGGTACTACTGGCAAATTTCCCATTGACTTCAAAAGGCAGCACTCTGCTCCTTGCAGCCTTAAGCTTCAGCCAGCCTATAGCATGTCCTTCACCCAAAACCAAGTGTTATCCTACTGAAGAAACTCAAAGACTCACAGTGTATATGTAACTTAATACTTCATACTTATTTCCAAAAGGAAGATATGGCAAGAATGAACTGTGTTGCATAAATATCCTTCATTACTGTGTAGGTGCCTGGGGTGTTAAGCTGTGACAATACCCATTGTATAAAATCAAAGACAGGCTTTAAAAGTTTCCCAACACATGTCTGAAAGGTGATGAATGGAAATGTTTACTATTTGTTTGCTGCTAAGTACAGATTCCTCTTTGCTGAGGACTGCACAAGGTTACTGACTAAACCACTTTTCATAGACAAACATTGGCTGCGAGTCTTTTTTCCACGCTCATAAAGCAAACATACAGCAAAGCAGTCTCTGCCCAGTTATCCTTGAAAGCTCATATCTTTTCCAGCACATCATGGGCTCCAGAAAGGCAGGCTTGCCTCCTTCTGCTTCTATTGTACAGAGCCTAATTTATAGTCCGAACAAGCAACTCACTATAAAAGATTTGCTTCTCCGTGCTTACTTCCTATTTCCCACAGTTAAAGCAAGTTTCAAATAAAGGATTCACAGGCCTCCAAGCTTACAAATTAGGCAAAGTAACACTCAGAGCATTACCAAAGACTTTGTATTCAAAATGTTAAGCGAAAGGCCTAGAGAAATACAATCAAATCAAAGCAGGGCAAAACCTAATGCAGGAAGTCTCTCCAAAGCTGTTTCTAATGTTGCCCATCACAAATACCCAGCACAAATGTATTTGAGTGAAAACTGGATAAACGCCAGGAGCTGTTTTAGAGACATTTGAAGCTGGAAGAATCTACTTGGCTAATTGCTTGGTCTGGGCACAGTGTTGTAGTACAACCTATTAAGTGCCTGAATTGCTTAAACTCAGGTTACGCTTTTGTATGGGTTTTGAAAACCCATTTTGATTTTATTTTGTTTTCAACAGTATTACCACAAAGCTTTATTTGCTACTTCCTGACAAGCTTTTTTCTATTCCAAACCACAACCTTAACATAAAAAAGCAGTTTGCTACCAACCTCGGTGACCAGTTATTATACTTTACCGTGCCCTCTGAGTTATGTTAATATGGCAGGAAAAAACCTTTGTTTCACAGGCAAGGCAGTGCTGAGACTGCTGGATGGGACAGGGAAAAGGTGAAGGATTGTGCTGGTTCTGGTTTGGACGAAATGTCCAGCTGAGCAAAATGAAGAATTGAATTGAAACACCACATCTTCTTGTCTGTCCTAGAAGAATCCACAGCCCAGAATGTCTTTTGGCAGAGTTTTACCGACATTTTGGCTATGGTCCTCTAAGAAGAGCTTTTCACTGTTCAATTAAAAGAACCACCTTCACTCAGGGTGATGGGTCATCTCCTGTTTAATAAGAAACAATCTTACAAAGAAAAGGTGTTCTCTGAAAGATGAGACCAGGTGTAGTAACCTGAAACTCACAGGTAAAGGTCAATCCTTAGCAGAGAAATAAATAAAAGTCCACAGCTTTCTGCAATCAGAGACAAAAAGGGGCAATGAGCAGTAACTCCTCCTGTCTGCTGTTCAAGCCTACTTGGCTCCAGCTGAGGGTATTTATTGCAATGACCATGCATTGATATATAAAAACCTTTCAGGGGGATCTGCATGCTTCTCTCTGAGTATCTGTTCTACTGGGAAATAGTGAGATGGTTTTGCAGTAAGTAAAACTGGGGCATTTTTTGCCTCCTAGCTTGGAAGCATCAGCCTTCACGCTTTAAAGCTTTTTTTTATTTATTTTTTTTTGTAATGCCTAGGATTATGGGATACAAGGCAAGGACAAAAATATAAGCAAGAAATAAAACTGTCTTTTTCATATAATACCATGACTCCCGGAGTCTGTTCTTAAAAAAAAAGATTATCCACCAGTACAACATTTTCAATAACAGTGAAAAACTATCATCACTTAGATGAATGTTCCCCACTGTACTGCACTTTTGTGGGTATTTTAGCAAAATTTGACACTAGGCACTGCAAAGAATTAAATTAATGCTATTCCTGTGTTGTGCTTGGATATAAAGGATCTGAGTTGTTCAGAAGAAGAAAAAAAAGTAGGCTTTAGGATAAAACTGACTCATGACTTACAGAACCACTCATGTTACACAAAGTTAGTCAAACTTGTGGCAGGAGGGGGCATTCAGGTTCCCCTTACACTGATTTCCTGCTGGGAGGTTCCTCTCTCTGCTCAAGTGAGAGCAAAAGTCCCTTTCTTGGCACGAAGAGTGGCAGTAGTGGTTGTGAGGAGCAGGGGATGCAGAAGCCCCAGCCCACACCCAGGGCCAAAGCTCGCCTGGCAGCTGCAGGAATCGCATTTCGAGGGGATTTAGAGCCAACATTTGCCTTCAGCCTTTAATAAATTACTGCATGGCCTTGAGCTGTGATGAATTAAGCTAAGGGAAAAACCCAAAATCTCTCCCTGGCTATGTCAGGAGACTTAGCCTTCCCAGAAGTTAATCAATGTGACAGAAGCTTTATACCCACACTGCAAATATATAAATCAAGCCAGTCAACATTTCTTCATCTTTGCCCCATCCTCCCCTGCCCGCTGTGCCTGTGCTGCTGGGGCTCAGCTGCACGGGGAGCAGCAGCAGCTCAGTAACTCCTGCTTATCACTTCAGAGGCTGCATTCCTTTTTGCAATCCTGATCATGCCCAAACCAAACAGTGACAAAGGATGTTTTTAACTTTTTTTTTTTTTTAAATTAAGTGTTCCCTAAGTATTCCTTATGCTCTTTTCACAACAATGAACCATTAAACCAAGAAATGTAACTTTTAAATTACAATTATTTCCTTCCTCTCATGGTAGCAAACCATGTGTGCATTAAGGCAAGAAGGAAGCAGTTTATCAGACTTTAAGGCATGCAAGAACATTGCTGAAGACGCTTCTGCAAGTCCATGCCAGGGATCATGTTGCTGAAGCAAAAATTTTTGGCATTTTTACGCTGTATTTTACCACCTCCAACTGTGTAATAGACAAAAGGCCAGGAAGATATAAAGGGAAACAGGTGGGATGGAATAAAAAGTAAGACTGTTTCATTTGGCACAGCAATGATCAGCTGTTTCATAATAAACCATCACACTTTGGGGGGGCTTTATATTCTTTTATTGTTACACTAGTCATGAATTTATACATTTACCTTCCCCTCACTTTCTACCCTGTCATATCTTCTTGCAGCTATAGTTAAAAATACAGGTGGTATTGGCCATATGAGACAAACTACTTTCAATATAATTTTATCAACACTCAGAACAAGGCCACTGAGAGCTGTCAGTAGAGGCTTTTTTAGAATCATAGAATAATTTTGGTTGGAAAAGACCTTTAAGGTAATTAAGTCTAACCATTAACCCAGCACTGCCAAGTCCACTACTAAATCATGTCCCTAAGCACCACATCTACACATATTTTAAACATCTCCAGGGATGGTGACTCAAGTACTTCCCTGCACAGCTTGTTCCAGTGCATGACAACCCTTTCAGTGAAGAATTTTTTCCTAATACCCCATCTAAGCTTCCCCTGGCACAACTTGAGGCCATTTCCCCTTGTTCTATCTCTTGTTACTTGGGAGAAGAGACCAACCCCCACCTTGTGACAACCTCCTTTCAGGTAGTTGCAGAGAGCAGAAAAGTCTCTCCTCAGCCTCTTGTTCTCTAGGGTAACAACTCCAGTTCCCTCAGATGCTCTTCATAAGGCATGTGCTCTAGAGTCTTTGTAGAGTCTTAAATTAGACTCTTGCTATGACATATTTTACTTAACATATCATTTTTATTTTTTATTATTGTTCTTAAAGGAAATAAAGATGAATAAGGTCACCAAAGCCTCCAAAATATGCTTGAAAATACAGTATGAAATTTTTGTAAAAGGGAGAGATAATTAGGCAGGCTGCAATTCTGGCAGGTCTGAGATAATGAAGGCTTTTGAACATCTGTTGGGAAGACCAAAAGATGCACATTCTAAGATGTTGTACAGGTCACAATTAAATACTTACAGAGTATTTGGAGAGAAGAAGGTGGAGAAAAGAAGGGTCTATATCCACTGATGATCATCTAAAGCTGCACTATCACAATCTTAAATTCTTATCTTACATTTTTAAATAGGTCACATCTCTGTTATGAAGAATGCTCAAGCTTCATTTAGAATACAACAGCTTTGCTGAAATATGTTTCTACCATATGCTTTAATTAAAAATTTAGGGTTTCCATCAAAATAAGTTTTGAGAACTGTTGTAGAGGTCAATTTATTAAATTGTAAGCAGCAAAAACAATAAGCATAATACCCATGAGAAGAAAAATAGTATCCATGAGAAGAAAAATTACTTGAATCCAGCATGTTTGAAATTCCCTGTGCATTTTAATATTTGTTTAAAATGTTTAAAAGAAAAAGAATTTCATGTTAGCAATTCAATACCATGTTTCTGGAATGTGGACTGAGAGTGTCACCCAGAATAATTTAAAAAAAAAAAAAAAAGGCAAAACAAAAACCTACTTATGGGCTGAAGAAAATGCTTTGTGGAAAGGAAATGTAGAGAAGTCAGTTATTCTCTTTCACTTGCCTACCAGAAGCCTGGGAGGTGATTTGACTATTCTGAGTGCCTTCCTGGGGAGAAAATACTATTTTTTAAAGATCTCATTAACTGAGGAGAGAAAGGCATAACAGGGAATACAAGATAGATATAAACAAGATAAAAATAAGGGATTTTTTTAGCAGAGATACAATTAATTACTGAAATAGGGAAAATAGCAGATTTTTCTACTACCCAACTTACTGATGTTTCTTATCATGAGTGGATTACCAGGAGGAGAAATTCTCATAGAATCATAGAACTATTCAGGTTGGAAAAGACCCTTGGGATCAGATAGGGATCCTTAGACAGAGCTTTTAGGGCTGGTTATAAACAAGAATTGAAATTGAGAAACCACTCAGTGATTTAGAAGTCTCTTAGGAAAGTTGGTGTGAATACAGAAGTACATCTGAAGCAATGTAACAAAAAGGCAAGGTAAAACGGAAGCATCTGCGTGTGCATGCATATATGTAAATATAATAAATGTTCAGGCCTTTCTTCTGCATTATAAAGAAGCAAGTAATAGCACAAACCTGTTTTGTTTTTTTTTTTGTATCCTCTAGAAACCACATTCAATCTGAGATTTGAGGATGCCCACAGGTGTCCTCTACCAGTACCTATTTTTTTCCCTATGTGGCAAATAATATTCAGGCTATAGGCACACTTTATACTTGGGCAGTAATTCAGCTGTAGGATTTCAGGCCCCAGCTAATCCATACCCCACAACTCCACCTTGTATCGAAGGAATTTGTTCTTTGGGTTCTCCCTGGTGCCACTTGGACTGCAGAGTCATCACCCTGACCATGTCTCAGCTCCAGACTGGTTCCCAACAAACAGACACCCAGGCTTGGTGTCAGGGTCTCTCCAACAAGGATATGTCAGAGCCAGCATTATCCCAGCCCTTCACGTTAATCTGATCTGACTTTTTAATTGCTGAAAGGCACTGACCCTGATAAGCAAGTCTGGTTTTAAAGGGTTCACTGGGGCTGCTCCCCAGAAGACAATGTAATCACAGACAGCAACACTAATGGAGAGAATCTTTGAATTTTAAGTTTCCTCTCTGAACAATTTTTCTCTGAACAATTGATCCTGTGTCCCACATTTGGGTCTTGGGAGGATGAGAGGGATAAACTCCATTTAATACGGTCAATAGCAATATTCCCCAACACCACAGAGGCACTATTGCATTTTGGACCATTATGGGGTGATACAATTGTCCAAATCAAAGGTTTGCCGCCTGTGGTAGGGACTCCCTCAGCTGGAGGAAGGTGAATTACTTTTGAGTGAGCATGAAGAGGACAAAAGGAGAAACAGCACTTTGACATGTTCAACAGCCGATTCTTTACAACCAGATGGAAAGGCTCTGAAAAATATCCGCTCCATTAGTTAACAGTGGTCTCACAGGATGAAGTTTTACTGGAATGGCAAAATTATTAATTTTTATAGCATATATATTCCACTAATAAATTAAAACTTGCCGAGAAAGGAATGTGATATTCTACCTGAGTCGTGGCAATGTTTGTTCCATCGGTGACCTCCACAGTCATATTATATATTGACCTCTGCTCTGCATCCAAGGGCTTTGCAATGACAATAGTGCCCACTCCCTTCTCCGCGTCGAAAGAACTATCGTAATTCCCTCCTAATTGTTGCACAAAAATACAATTAAATTAGCCATCTCTGGAAATTGCCCATTGAAAATGTTCCTAGAAGTGGGGATATCTTGTTTACTGGCATTCATCTTAACGGCTTGTCTTAGCATACAGAGTACATCTACTGATACTTCTTTGTTCATAACTCATTTATATTTCAAAGCACAGTTTGTATATTGGAAAGCAGATATCATTAAAATGCACTGCAAGAAAGAAAAAAAACACCTAGCAATATATTTAAGTGAACCATAACTAAGTGTATAAAAAGAATCAAATGGCTATAAGCCATTAAGATGTGTGCCCTTGTAGTCTGGATAACGAACAAGAACAATTATCTTTTTGTATAAAAATCATTTTAGGAGCATTTTATTCTGCAAATTTTATTTTCAGGAAATTCTCACTGATGCTTGTGCATGCGAAGACTGTCAACTCAGTCTTTAAAAATTACAATTATAATAAATTGTAAAAATGCAAATAGCAATTTGTTATGTTAATTTCAAGGACAATGATAATTACTGGCAGCAAAGGTCAAATTCTACTAGTCTTTTAGGAATTATTTAAATAGATCTGACAGGATACACATCATCAATTCCTTTCCATTAAAAAAAAAAACCCTCACAAAGCACTGTTCTGAAACTAATATCCCCTTATCCTGTCACACACTGAATGATGCAGCAGTGGGAAAACCCTCCTGAGTCTCAGGTGAAAGGAAAAAAAAAGGAAAAAGAAAAAAAAAATCTATTAAAAAGTAAGAGAAAGGCATAATTAATTTGAGATTAAAGGGTTACAAGATTTCTCAGCCACAGCAATAGTTTATAAATTAGAACCACTCAGCATGTTCAAAGGTAAAGTGGCACTCACTCCTCACTGCTGCGCTGCTTCTTATTCATCTATAAACTGGAATTTATTATGAGTTGAATGTGAAATTTTTGGAGGCTGGGGACAGGGAGAGGTGGAACACAACACTGCTGACAAATAGACTCTATAGGTATGTTTGTCACACAGCAATGCAAGGCCACTAGTTACAGTCTCTGACAACTCAGTTCTACAAAGCAGAAAAGGCTTTCAGACCTCCTGGTGATAAAACTTGTGTAAGAGCTGTTCTGTCCTCTTGGAATAAATCCACAGGTGGAAAACCATCCATTCTGTCAACTTAGCTCTTGTGCAATATATATATATGGAGAGAAAGAGAGAGAGATATTTGGACGGCTGGTGTATTACCACAAACCAACTCCCATTTTAGAGCAGGAGACAGAAAAGAAGAAGGGAACAGTCTTCCTTGCTCTCCCATCAAGTCTTGCATCTGCATGGTTTGCTGACCAACCACTGACACTATTCGCAGAATCAGCAATGCATTTAGTGAGAGGAAAAAGGCTCTGGCATCCCAAGAAGTTGAAGACGTGGAGAAATCACAGTGGAGTCACAGCCCCTGAATATCTTAACATTAAGAAACCATCACTTCTCCTTATCTCTCACACAGGATATTGCAAAGGAAGCATAAGCTAGAAGAAGCACTGCTCTGTCCATATCTCTCTTGAAGGCCATTCAAAAAGGGGGAGATGAAAGGGGGAAGAATAAGGGCACAGGTTATCTATGCAAAGGAAAAGCAGAACTGGCAAAATGCTCCGTGAAATGCTCCAAACATAGTTGTTCCTGAGGTACCATCACACTTCCCTTTGCTTAATATATGTCTACATATATACATAGCTCTGAACCTAACAGATGCACTTGTGGTTCTCCAGGAAAACATTTGAGACTGAATCTGCTGTGATTTATAGTGGTCAGATAGACTGCTTATTCCCTAACTTCTTTTTGCAAGCCTAATTTGCACATTTTTCTCCATTGATATATATTTGTCACTATTTGACAGAGGAAAAAAAAGCATTATTGTCCTTAACACTTAAGCAATACTAAGGTATTTGGATGCTGATCATATCTTCAGTGTTTAGTTCGGGGGTTTTTTTGAGTTAGTCTAGAAGCAATAGTCTCACAATTAATGTTTCAAATTGATTTACTTGAGAAAAATCATACCATGAAAACCAACTCTGAAAAAAGGCCTCGTTTGAAGATGAGAGTCTGAGATTCTTGCAAGGAAATCTCTGCTGAAATGAAGGTAGCCTTGGGACAGTAGGCACTTTACAAAGAGAATGTTTCATACTGATAACCATGAAAACAAAATGAAAGCCTGTACTTCAAGATGCTTAACAACCATCTTAATGAGCAATCAAAAACTCTATGCTGTCAACTGGCATACACTTCTAACAAAATCCTGCCTTTAACACTTCCAAGAAGTAACATTGAAAGATTATCAATAAATTTTTAAATGCCCTTCCCCTGTTGCTTAGAGCTGGATTTGCAGGATACTATGTAGTGTATTGCAGATACAATGACTTCTTCAAGCCATTTTCATTAAATGAAGTATATTCTTCCCCTAAGATACAAACTGAATCCATCATATGAGTTTTTTATATGTTGTTCACATCTTCCAAAATTGTCTAGTGACGAAAAAACAAATCTTGGTCACCAGCAACCTCACTCTAGCCTACACTTGTAACCAACCAGATAAGGCACTTTATTTTACATTGATTCATTTTCTATTAAACACATAAACTGAATCAAACACTGAGAAAAAGATGGATCAGAGAACACCCTTCTGGGAGATCTGTGATTATGATGTCTTTTGGAGTGAAATCCTGATCTATTCCTGATTCTGTTTGGTACATTTTAACAGACCATGGTCAGATGTTGACAATGAAGAACGACTCAAATGGCTGAACTTCTGGGAATATTGCCTGGGATACTGGGTCCTGCTTCTCATCTGGAGTACTAGAGGCAGTCTGGAAATGCTTTGTACATCTCCTTAGCCTTCATACACCCTCAAAACAGCTCCACACATGATGAACACTTCTGAAGTTGCACTTAAGCACTGAAGAATAAGTAATGAATTAGGTGTAAATGCTAAACTATAAGAGTTTTATAGGTGTATTAAGTCTATGCAACACCTACTACAAAACACCAAGAGAAGCACCCAACACAATTATCTTTGAAGTATGGGTATTGAAGGTGTACAGAGAGAGTCCTGTAAAAACAAACAGGACTTTATCTTAGAAACTCCTGCAGCTGGAGTATTCTGGGAACCTCATGTCAAGCCCATTCCTTCCAAAGGTGCTCATGCTGAGGTTGGAGGGCTGAGCCTGTAGGATGTGACAGCTGAGAAGGTGCCAACTTCACCCATTTCTGGGGGGCCTGAGGACTGTTTTCCAAAGATGCTGTTGGAAAACTACCAACCCTTTTGAAGGGAGCTCATCTGCAGGGATATAAACTCCTGCAGTATCAGTTATACCAATGCTACTATCAGCCATTTAACCTTTTCTTTGATCATAATCTTAGCATGACAGGGGGCTACGTTTGATTAAATTTTGTTCAGCTGCTCAGTTTTATTAATGTGAATTTTTATTACTTATTCTATTTTCCAACATATGGCACATGCTTTCCTTTTTATTGTCTACTAAAGCCTGCTTTCAGAAACAAGATACGTAGAAGCTGACTTTGCTAATGTGCTTACAATTGCATTAGGAAAGAAGTATTTCAAATGAAGATAATACATTGTGAGTTCCTCAGGTACTATGAAAGTCAACTGTAAAGAAGGCAAGCTGATTGAAGTAGCAAGCTGGCCAGACAGTCTGACCTGAGAAACCATTTTAACACTGAATGATCTCAGAGAGATGTGGAATAGCCATTGTTTGTAAGACCATTGCAGGCTAAGATGCAATGCTGAACAGATCTTCAATACAGATTAAAGACACTGACTAAACTGAAGCACCTAGATGGAAATTTCATGAAAAGTCCACATCTACTTGCAATGTTTGGATGACGTAAATTCATCCACAAGGTGCTTTTTCCTCTCTAATTAATTGTTAAGATTCTCGAAATCATGTAGCACAGATAGTTATGTCTACACTTTGGACATCTAATGGCAAGAAAGATGATTTCCAGCCTTGCTTTCTGGAGATTGATCTTAATGCTCTTGCATAAGCCCTTAAAGCATTCTATTTCTACAGCTAGGAATTTTTTATGTTATCTGAAAGCATGTTACAGTTTATACAGGATTTTTCAATAGAACTCCTGAAAATCCCAGCTGTTACCAAACTCAGGATGGCTGTAGAAACAGCCCCTGGTAAAAAATATCTTATTAGTTGGCCCTCTCTACAGTTTTGTGAGACCTTTCAAGCACAGCCCTAATTTTCAATTTAACAGATGGTACAGTATGGTTAAGGAGAGAGAGACTATAGGTTGTTTTCCAAGTAGCCTTGGTTATATCTTCTGGCTGAATCTGGAGTGTCACCTTGGTTCTTAGCTTGTTTCTTTCTTACACTGTCACGATGAACATACACTTCTTCTGACAAACAAATGCTCTGAAAAGAATTAATTATCCTTTTAATGAAAAAGATAGTTACAAAAAAAAGCAATGGACCTTACATGACTAACGGAAAGGATGTTCTAATGTAAAGTTTACCACTTGTTTGGTGCAACAGACAGGCCCAGTAAAACTTGTAGGAAAATGAGTCCCCCTGTGAGGGCCTTTCTCCCTCCTTTCCAGTGGAACAATCCTGAAGAGTGCCATTGAATATCACCTCAGGAATATATGATGACTGTGGAGAATCAGACTTGCTCAGTCTTAAATGTAAAGATGGATCACACTGAACTCTGGAGGACATCCTCAAATGAAATACAGTCAAAACCGGGCAAGAATCTTCCTTTGCTGGCAGATAACAAAGACATACATGCTCCGTGTTCAGACTTAATAAGGCCAGGCTATACTGAGATCTTCACACAAGTCTCATATGGCCTACCATGCTATGGTGGATGAGTGGAAGAGAAGTTCAGTAAATTACTTAATTTAGAAAACAGACCTTTAGAACACATTTTCTTACTTCTCTTACCCTGAAGTAAACTAACACCACCAAGGACAGGGATGATAAACTGTGCCAATTGTTACAATTCTTGCATTGCTTAGAACAGAGAATGAAAGGAAAATGCAGAAAGTTAATCCACCCTGGAACTCAAGGGTGAGTCTGAAGTACCTCTAGGATTTTCAGGAAAAGAAGTAGAGTCAAAGTTTCCAATTTTTCTGTTTTCAAAAACAGATGAAATAAACTTAGTGTTTGCCTCAAGAAATACAAATTCAACTACAGACTTCTGTTAATCATAACATAATAAATGTTAGTTACACAACATGCAAATATTTATTCTCTTATGTTCTAAAGTATACTAAGAAGAAAATAACGCAGACTGATTTTTCAGATAGAACTATTGTAAGGAGAGTCAAAGCCTTGGGTTTGCTGCTAAGAAGCTGAAGGTAAGGCATAAAAAGCAGAAAAGAAATCAGAAAGGTATTTTAGCTAGTTCTCAGAGAAGAGAATTCAAAGGAGGCTAGGGAGCTCCATGTTTTTGGCATTAATGAAAATGTACAGTACTGTGAAATAAACGGACAATTAATTAAAATTAATAGAATTAAAATTATTGCCATTTAAGCACCCTTTATAAAAAAACTTCTGATGTGCTTTGAAAGTTTGGCTGCTCTTATAAAGGTATAGGCTGGGGGAAGAAGGAAAAATAAAGGGAGACCTGTTGGAAGAATCAGAGAGATGTTGTGCAACATGCTACTTAAGCAAAAACTAGCACCATGCAGCTTAGCTCCGGTGTCAAAGTAGTCATCACATCATTCCCACCAATATCAAAGGAAGAGACAGAGGGCACAATTTACCTGGGAGAAATACAGATTTCTGACTTATTTTGGGGTTCCCATTGAAAATCAGTTTCTCATAAATGACTGAATAAATTTAACATAACTGAAACAACCTACATGCTTGCACTGTGGGAGTTAAGTGAACTGAGAATGGTATTGAATGCAGTCTGAAAACAGAAATCACATCTGGTATCTCAACCATTCCCAATTAAGCAAAGAGAAAAACACGCAAGCATCGTGTTCCTCTCTAATTGATGGAGGGAAGATCTCCCTACCTGCAGGGCACCAGCATCTCTTGGAAAAAAGTAAATAAAAAATTCAGTGAGTGACTTAACGTGTATATAATTTTGGTGCAAATCAGATGCTGAAGTTAGGCAGACAAATATTACATAGCCAAAATTCATCCGTCCTCCTAATTTATTTATATTTTTTTAGCTGGGAAAAAGTGTATGTTTGCATTAAAAAAGAAGTCCTCTGAAATTCCAATGCCCATTTAGTTTGAAAAGGTCATACACATAAAGGTCAAGCTGCAAACTCTATATTAAACCATGCCGCTACATAAGCCTTCAGGGCTTTTGCTGACATTACTGTGAACTGTGCACAGAGGTCCAAACCCACAAAATACCAGATGGAGAAGGACCAGGCCTAGGTTTCAAAGCAGCATAGAAACCATCTTTTGCATCAGCAGTCCCATACAGCTTTCCATAAACTACAAATAACTTCTACTAATAATCCATGTCCTTCATTGCACTTTACAGCACTAGACCTGAATGTTCCCCTAAAAGGAAAGTATCAACATCTCTTTTTCCCCATGATGATATTGAGAAACGAGGTGAAAAAGTGGTGTTTATACTGACATTGACTAAAGGCAGCAATGTTGGTTATTTCTACTGTAGAAATGTGTGATGCTTCTAGTGCAATAATTTATAACAGCAGTAATATTTAATGACAACATCCATAAGGTAACAGTGTTGAACTGGATGGTCAGGGTCACCAATTTCTCATTAAACCTAGGGAAGCTGTGTCTCCATGACCCTTTGCAGTGAAGCAGCAGCTTGCAGCATCAGGAGCTGCAGCCTATAGGGAAACCATTAGGCTTGTTTAAATAGTAAAAATCTCGTTCTAAACCATTTGAACTAGTTTAGCCATAAAGGTCACATTAAATGGCAAATTAAAGGCTTAAGTTTCACAATGCTCTTCCCCTCATCTTTGTTTGGTAGGCAAAAATGAAATGTTATTATAAGGTGCTGCTAAATTGCACGTGACTCTAATAATGTAAAAGAATGTTGTGGAAGAGCAGGGGCTTCTCTCAATACTTAACACAGGCAGCATTTTAATGAGAGCAAAGGACCAAAAGGCTGAGAAAAGTAGAGGAGTCCAGCAAAAGGTTCAAATGAGGAAAAAAGTGTTGATAACATCAATAAAAATGGATTTCTCCTGGGAGAAAGTTAGAGTCAGTCAGAAACGGAATGAAAAAAACCCAAGGAAACGGGAGGAGAACTGAAGGAAGTATATGCTGCACTTCCCCAGGGTCTAGCAGGAACCCTAGAACATTATAATAGTTTTGGGTTTAATATTAATGTGGTTGGCACATCAGAAACCATGCAAGAAACTAAAAGGGGAAATGTTGCTGCTTTTGTCTTTCAGCTGCACAAATTGGCAATAAAAGGTGGATGAAAACAGTCCTGACAGACCCTTTCTCTTGTGGTCCTTGTCCTTCCTGTTGGTTAAACCCATCTGCAAATAGCTATGCTGAAATAAGAGCCAGGCTCAATCCCTGTAAATAAAGACTGCTGATGCACCCTTTCCACTAAGTCTGTTGCAAAGGCTTTTTGTTTTTCTAGTCTTTCATATAGTATTTGCTTTATAAATCTTCATTTAAATAAAACCACTATGTGCAGACACAGTGTTTTATATGCAAAGGTATACAACAAATTACGTACAAGTACCTGCAAACAGTAAGTAGCACAGTGACTTTGCAGGGTTGTTTTGCTTCTGGGGAAAGTCTCATCCTGGAGATGTTAAATGACTTATTTTAAATGACATAACTGAATTAGCAGCAGAAACAGGCAATAAACGCTTAGCAACATTGATTCCTGTTTCTCCACTTCAACCAAATGAGATCCTCTACTCCTTTTCTTTTTGTCACCTACAACTTTAGTGGTATTTCCCTGTGATTTTAAGACCATTACTTATGTGCCTTCTCCTCCTTCTCGCTAAGGATGTTTCTCCCTATTTTTATCACCAATTTTATGTAAGGCAATTTTGTGGTTGAATCTCACATCAAAACACATTTCTCTTTTTCAGCTTGCATTCAAGACAAACTTTTGGTGGCTCCGTCTGAAACCCATATGTTGATGCATCCCATTCTGTTTCACAGTTAAATGGATGGCACTGGACTGTGAAAAGTTTGAATTAATTATTTGTGATAAACTGTGGAAAATCCGTGAATAAAATGATAATAATTGGACATAAATATGGCAAAAGCTGTCATAGAAAGAAATGCAGCACATCCATGTGTCGCATCGCATCCTGTCACAGGCACTTATGAAAGATGTAATATAAATTGTTTCAAAGAACTTGCAAAAATAAAAGGCAGCCTGGATAGTTGTATTTTAGCAAATGTGTTTGCACTAAGGGTACCTTCTGTTGAACAGTTCTGCCCACAAGCTGTCTGTAGAATATAGAACATCTCTCGAGCATGCTTGCCACCTTGAAGCAGGGCAGTCGGAAGCAGAAAAAAAAGAACAGAATGCAGAAAAAAAGGTGAAGAAAGAGAGAAATGAGGGACAGCAAATCTAAGTACCATAAATACATTTAGAAATGAGATTAGCAAAGTATGACAATAGAATTCAAATGACAGACAACATTAAGATTGCAGTAAATAACAGTATGAAAAAAAAACAATTCAGCCATACAGCGCTTTTTTTTTCAGCTTAGCTAAGGAGTCATAACAAAAGCAGGAATATTATTATTATTGTTACTGTTATCGCTAAATTAAAATAGCATTTTCATTTCAGCATTACAAAAGTGGGTTTAATTGAGGGGGGACAGGGACAGTTCACAGTTAGTTTTCTTGCTCTCAAAACCATATGCTTTGCTTCTGAAGTGTTCGCACAGCACTGGCTCCCAACTTACCAACAATATCAAACCACAGAGGAATGTTAGATGGCTGCACAGAGACCACCCCAACGATTTCTGTCACTTTATCGCTTTCCATGATGGTGAAGTTGTAAAAGGGTTCATCGAAAGTCAGGGGGATGGGCGAGGGCGCAGGCTTTTTTATCCACTCGATATGGAGGCGCGCAGTTGAAGATTTTTGGGGCCGGCCATTGTCCACTGCTTTTATCTGGCAGGTACAAAGAAAAGAGGACTCAGACTGAACATCACAACTTGGCAGTTCAGACCTAATTCTACCACACAACGATAACTGTTTGGAAAATGGCCTTTTTAATCCTGTGCAAAAAATGTCATCAAAAAGAGGGACATAAGCATTTATTTCTCAGGCCTCGTTTTTTGCCATGACACATTGACTTTTTGCTGAAAACATTTATTACAAACTGAAATGTTTTGTTTTAGAAATGCTGGTGTGGGGACTCCTAGAGATGCAATTCAAGCACTCCCCACACAGATCCTCCTCTACAGAACCAGATTCCTTCTCCAATTTCATCTTCCACCCAGTTCACTCTTGCAGCAAAGCTGGGAGTCTTATAAAAACCCACTGGTACATTGTGCACTTGCTACACATGTTCACTCAGATCATATTTGATTGCTTTTAAATGACATTGCAGATAAGATTGAAATTCCTTTCATTGTTTTCTTCAGGATCTTTAATTGAGTCAAGTAAGTTTCAGATAATTTCCTTCATTCTCAAAAACAAATACAATTTAAAATTTTCCCATATTTAGTTTTCTTGCTTCTTCCTGTCGTGCCCAGCTTGGTGCTAATTCTTTTTATTATAATGTCCTTCAGAGGGATGGATAGATTTGATATTTGCCTGGCATACTTCATAGTTTTAGCACAGAAAAGACAAGACAAGCAGCAACAAACACTGAGTATAAGGAAAGGAAGACTGTCGGTTACAAAATGGGTGCTTTGGTGAGCAACATTGATGTCAATCTAAGCATTTTTCTTTCAAAATTAAAGGAAATATGTCTGGCTGTGTAGGACGATTGGTGTAAATATTCTGTTACTCTGCTGGTTAAAAATGGGAAATATTTTCCTGCAATACCATGCCCTGTTTTTCCTTTGGGTATGTGTGAGGTGGCTTTGTTGCCAACACTCGTCCCACTTCTCCTTTCAAGGTGGCAGGCCCTTAGTGAAAAGATGCTGAGGGTGTGATGAGCAGTTTCAAGGTAGAAAACCTTCAGCTGTTGCATTATAACAAGTGCCAGATCCCAGGCATGACTTCCAGCTCTTCAAAGGGAAAGGCTCTCACTCACCCAAAGGCTGCTCTGCTCTGATTACTAAGCATTTCTCAATATTTTGATAATATTTATTCATTTTCCCATCACAGTGTCCAACGCTAGGAAGGTATCCCAACAGAGACCTATTATTGTGGATCCATTTACTGTGGGTCAATGTTGTTCTGACATTTTTTTGTCAACTCCTTAACTACAACTTGTTGACTTACTGCTGTAGATGAAGACTGTATTCAAGTCTTATATTGCTTTATATTGACAACAGTATCTTGTATTCCTTCTTTCTTTGACCTTGTCTATACGGTTTGAGTTCTGGCAGAAGTATTTTGTCTGAGATTTCTTTTAACTGAATTTGCTGCCTTGTTTATAGCCTTTAACATGGTGAGAAGGGTGCTACTACACACTGTACACAGTACTGCTCCTCCCTGAAGCACCTAATTTGGACAGGATAAGGACTTTCCCATGAGGGCAAGCAGTTGTGTCCATACAAAAGGTGAATAACCATTCATAGCACTATCTCTCCAGTTCAACATGAATCATAGAATGGTTAAGGTTGGAAAGGACCTTAAAGATTATCAGGTTCCAACCCCTCTGCTGTGAGCAGGGACACCTCACACTAGATGAGTGTGCACAAAGTGTCATCCAACCAGGCCTTAAACACCTCCAGCGAGGGGGAATCAACAACCTCCCTAGGCAACCCATTCCTGCACCTTAACACCCTCATGGTGAAGAATTTCTTCCTGATGTCTTACCTAAATCTCCCCTCTTTCAGTTTAATCTCCTCTTGTCCTATCATTACCCTCTCTGGAGAAAAGTCCCTCCCCAGCTTTCCTTCAGGTACTGGAAGGCTGCTATAAGGTCTCCCCAGAGCCTTCTCTTCTCCAGGCTGAACAGCCCCAACTCTCTCAGCCTGTCTTCATAGCAGAGGTGCTCCAGCCCTTTGATCATCTTCACGGCCTTTCTTTGGACCTTCTCCTATAGCTCCATGTCCTCTATGATGAGGGCTCCAGAACTGGACACAGTAACATGATATAAAGTGTTAGCAGACAAGCCCCTGGTTTTCTTACTTTCTATGTGTTCAAGGGAATGGCTTGCACCAATGATCTGTAAGTTGATTGAACAGTCTGAGAATAGTTCACTACACGTAATAGTACAAATGCTCCCCTCAGACTCAGTTTTTTGGCAGTAGTTTTATGTGAATACTAGCTTAGTACAGCCAGATCTTCTATATAGGTCACACATTAAACATAGTCATATATCACTATTCAAGCAGGCCAATTTCAGCCAAATCATAGGTTTGTATGTTGATGGAAGAGCACTTACTGTTAAGATGTCATAACTCCCTGCTGTGAACTGCTTTCTGGAAGAAACCATCCCAGTTTTGGGATCAATAAAAAATTTGCCATCCTCGTTTCCATCCACAACGCTGTACGAGATTTCTGCATTTGGGCCTTCGTCTTTGTCATAAGCAAAAGCTCTGTAGATCGGCTCCCCTCTTTTCTTACGGTCCCTCTCTGGCAGTTTTATCTGATAGACTTTCTCTGGAAACTGAGGTTTATTATCATTCTCATCCAGAACCTGGATCACCACCCAAACGGAGGACTGCTTGGGAGATGTGCTCCCATCTGACACGGTTACCTGAAAAACAGCAGCAGTAGAGGAATTATTCTGAATAGGGACAGGGAGACTTCACCAGTTGGAAAAAACCCATAAAACATAAGGAAACACCTCTCCCCCCCCAAGCCTAACCTGCAGTTTACATAGCCTTCTTATTCTCTGTACACAAGGCATGTTCACTATGAACATGCTCAATGTCTAATTCAAATGTGCCTACATTGGCAAATAAAGGAATCGGGAAGATTTTTTTTTACTTCTGAGATGAATCTGGCATGAGGAACCTGCAGAAGAGGCATCTATTTCTCAAAATATAAAATCCTTTTATCTCTAATTCTATACGTTTATCTCAGAAGAAAGACTCGGAATTAACCCATTAAGCAGGAACCCTGCTTTTTTGCGAACATATTTCTAAGTTTCTTCACTCACACAATGGATTTGAAAGATGGATTTCCTCTTAAGAGAATCTTTGTCACTTTTTTTCTGTTAATTATTTGGGATTTCTTTAACAACAAAAGAATTTCTGTCAGTTCTTTCCATTCATCATCTGAGATTTGACAGCTCATTAATTCCAAAAGTGTTTTATACAATTGTTAGGGGCACAGGGAGGCAGGTAGCAAAAAATTCTGCTGCGTTGTATAAGGAGCACACGGTGCTGGCAGAAGCATGAAAGAAATAAAATCTTTGAGACAAAAGTTAATTAGTAATTTAGTTGCAACTTTAACAGAATATCTAATAATTTTCGGTCTGAAATGCTGTGAAAATGAAACGATCCAAGATCAACAAGCCCTCAAGAGAATAATACACCTTCCAAATGCAATCAATATGTTTCAAACTTTTCCCTCAATATTTCAATTGCATTTTTTAAAGATAAAGAAATAAGGCAGGAAGTTATTTCTGTTTGTATGAAAGATGTTCAAATTTCACCTTTGGCTACCCATGCTAATATGCCATGATGATGGTCAGCCAAGATACTAGACACCTTTTCCTGCTCACACTGATTGCTGGTCATCAATTGCTTTACTGTTTAACCCCTTGATGGTTTGCTTTTCCTTAAAAATTTCTGTGTCCCCTTACAAATCATAAAGTCCTGATGTTCAATCCTCAGGCAAATCAAAGATTTCTGGGAATAATATTCCTTTCCATTGTCCCCTCCTTGCCACAAGAAAACTAAACTTAGGGTAACCCCAGCTTAGTATTGAGATGACCAGAAAAAAAACAACAACACATTTTCTAAGAGAAAGGTAAAAGACCTTTTCAATTTCCTGTATTTAACTATACTTCTAAAAACTGAGAGTGGAAAGAAGGGGACTGACAGCCTTAGGGACTGAAGCTCCTTATTTACAGAAAAATAAATGGCATGGTGGCATGTGGTGAAATCCCCCAGATCAGCCCATAACTCATATGGAGTCTAGAGCCTGTCCTCCCAATGACATGCACTTGTTGGGGTTGCTGCCTCAGGACAGGACAAGGATCATCCCCACCCTGCAAAGCCACCACCATGCCATCTGTCAGTCACCAGTGAGGAGGTGCAGATGGAGGACCTGCAGCCCATTACTGGTGTACTCAGTCATCCCCTTCACACTCACTACCCTTCCCAAAATAGCACTTGTAACTGGAAAAGGCTTCACACACAGCTGTGAATTTGCCTTTCCACCCAGTGAGAGGCACACCACTGGGACCTCAGTCTCCCCACTCCATCACTCTGGAGGAACTTAGGAGCTTCTGAGGCAAACAATAAGCCATTTCTGGCAGTTCTCCTATTACAGACTCTTAGCACTAAATAACTTTTGCCCCTTTTAGAGACGGATGCCCTCCATTTCTGTTCTGCTCCCGTACAATTGGCCAAACTCTTGGCAAGAGCACAGTTTAGGGAAGATAAACATTTTTCAGGACTTCTGCTGACTCCACAAGTTTTCAATGTGCTGGGTGATACAGGCTGTAGTGTACAGAAACAGATACATGCTTATTTAAATGATGGTCCAAAATATCCACAAAATTATTTTTTAGGGGTTAATCTCATTAATACACATAAAACATGAGACAGAGTCAGGAAACTTGTTTTCTGAACAGAACTTGACTAAATTAAAAAACAAAAAAAAGAGAAAAAAAAATGCCATTTCCCTGAAGGTTCTAGGAGTTCAGCAGATCTACCAAAGCAAAAAAGGGGCCCAAGTGAAGAGAAAGTTTGCAAATAAAAATAATAATACAATCTCTGAAAATTACAGTGGTATAAATATTCAGGTGAATATGACAGAAAACCTATTTAAGTCAAGAGTCTGCTCAAGCAGCAAAGCCACCCTCCTGTCTTAACCAATACAGAATCACTGCTGAAATACTGACTAACACAGTGCTGTGGCAGTAAATACGTGCAGGCATTTGTTTGTTTTTGTAAGCTCAAACTTGTGGGAAATCTGTTCCGTAAGAGAAAAGTTGCACTGGAAATATCTGCTGACAGCTAATTGAAAATAGTAATGGCTATAATATGAAATGTTAGCTAATTAACAGAAATTAACATGTTCAGTTAGTACACTCTTCTCTGTCTAAAACCTTTCATTCCTGAAGAGGAAAATACTACATACCAGCTAAGCCTTTTTTTCTGGGTGACACTCACAACTTTACAAAATGACAGGCTCCAGCTCCACTAGAAAAGCTCTGAGTGCCAGACACAGGAGCTGAAGTGTGAGTTAAAGCTCTCTCTTTGCAGGCATGTACATTAATTAATTTAGCCAGCCTCACACCAGCAATGTGATTATTTCCCTAACTGTAAAACTGTGCCCTGGCTGACCCTTCTTTTTAGCTCCATCAGCCTCACCCCAACCTGGGCTTTTCAGGTTCCACTTATAAACAGGGTAAAAGAGCTGCAGACATTTTCTCTGCCCCTATACGAAGAAAAAACCACAACACAGTAAAACAAAATAACAAACTGCTGCCAGTTCAAAATTGTTCCCAGACAAAAATGGGGGGGGGGAAGGGGGGCTGGAGAAGTCGTTCAGCACAATGCTCTGCAAATACTGTTTCCATCAGGACACTGTATCACACCAGTACTTAGGGGCCCCTCTAACAAACACAATTTTTATTCAAACATTACCACAGTTCTCAGTAAAATCCTTAAACAGCTGGAAATTACAGTGAAAAGTAACTAGGGAGAGGAGGGAGTTTGGGTTGTCTGTATGACAAAGAAACAAAAGCTAATTCACAGCTAGTATCTCTGGAAATGTGAAAGGCAGATGTGCAATACATGGGAGAGCTTGCCAGGAGAGAAGCTGCAATTCAAGATCAGTGAGGTCCTTGTTTATGAACCTGCAGATGGCATGGTGGGGAAAATACAGAAGAGAAAGGTGATACCCATGGATGTCAAACTGTCTCCACATATGTTTGTAAAGTTGTGCCACCAAAAACCTGAGCAGAGGTGAATCTCACAGTAAGCAAGATGGGGAACTGGTAAAGACCATACTTAAAGCTTTCCAAGCTGAGATGACAAATCCCTGCTTGGTCAGCACGTTTTCCTAAGTGCTGAACATCTTCTCCCGTCTTTGTGCTGAGTCTGGTATCCAGACACCAGTGGGTGCAGACATACTGCTTCTTGCCCACGTGTAACGAGATGGGATAGTCCATTCACTAAAGGTGCAATACCTTAAAAGGAATTTCATGACATGTTTAATGGGGTCTGATGGCATCCAACAGCAAGAATAATATTAACTTTATGTACCACATTAATGGTAAACTCCTAAGCATCACTATTGTTTTCCCACAACCTACAGAGAGTTCCACTACAATGTCTTCATAAAATGAAGCATATTCTGTCAAGGTTCTGCATTCACCATTGACTTTAATGTTTATGACTTTACTGAACCATACCATTTCATACTCATGTTTATTTTCAAGGTCACAGATCAAGCACAGAGGGACTTCCATAGCAGTGGAGTTCCTCAGTGAAAACCAAAGTTAATACCAATTGTCAAGAAATGACAGCTGCAATGGTATATATGAAAATTTCTTATTTTTATGACCACGGAGAAGGCATAAAGGAGACACCTACTATGAAAGTACCAGCTAAAACACAGTTAGTGTAGGAGACCTCAGTGCTGGTCACAAAAATAATTTTATCTTGAGTCCTATGAATTGGACTGTGAACTGAAGAAGAATTAGCTCTTGACTTTTTTTAGCATAAAAATGCGACTGTGAGGACCACCCTCCTGAATTAAAAGTACAATATTGAGTCTCATTAACAAAAGCTCATGACTTCCAAGATAATTATTAACTCAGCTGGAGAGAGTAGCTAGCAGGGATCTTACTTCAACAAGTATAACAAGACAATCAGCAGGTGTTTAATGTGAATTATCAAGCCTCGAGAAGAACGAGAATCTTCTTCCACAGCACTCCTTGACAGAAGGAAGTATTCAGCCTACCCAATTTTTTTTAGGTTAAGTGGAACTGCCACATTACTGTCATCAACGTTGCCAAATGCTGAAGATGTTGCATTTCCTTGATTATTTTCCTTCGTGTGATACTGCTTAATGCAAAGAGTGAGCTGAGATGCCTGCATCTCATCTGAGTTGTGTGCATAATGAGGGCTTCAGGTAAAAGTCTCTACCTTCCCCCACCCAGAAATGTCAATTTTGCTTCAGAAAACTTTAGAAAAGAGGATCTGGTTGAGTTACTGGAGACAGAAAAATGATCAAAGGGAGTCTGAGAGCTTAGGCATACCCCTGCTGTTAGTGACTAATGGGTTTGTTTCTTCTGCCAATGCACAAATGAGCTGCAATACCTATTATAAGAGTTTCTGGAATTCAGCCCAAGTAAGAGAAATAAAAGATTATAAAGGAGAGCTCATTGAGGGATGAATGGAACTTTAAAGTCAAATACACTGAATTACTATCTCTGCCTACTTCAGAGAGAGAGTAAATTTGTGGCTAAATTCTTACAAGGAAATATTTTTCTGAAATGTATTATATTACTGAAGTACACATCAGATTATTGCTACAACAAGGAGGCAGCGTAGCTCAGAGACAGAGAGAAGA